GCTCAAAGCAAAAACTACAATGTAACCCAAGTACGGCGGTCACAATCAAACGTAAAAGTCAACGAACTTAATGCTCATATTTCAAACAAAAACGTTTGATACAATTTCGATTATTTTTTATACTTTTGCTTTGGCTTCGTGGAGCCACAAATAATATGTTCGGTGATGAAAAAGATGATATGATTAACAGCCGTACATAGAGTCGTTTATTTAGATTTAACGGAAGATTTTAATAAATTCCCCATCCAGAAGCTAATCATCATGTTAACCAAGAAAGCGTTGTTCCATAAATCAGTATTTAAAATTTTTGTTGCTGGCTTAGGATAAGTAATCTAATTGAAGACTCCTGAGTATTTTTAAGGGATCCCAATGTCAAATCTTTGAATTATAAAAAAAAATCAACGGTGCTACAACCTCTTCAGGTCTGGGCCTCAGATTTCTGTATCTGTTCCATGATAATTTGTCTATGAGACAACTACGTTATCAGCCTCATTTCGACTTTTTGAGTCTAAGGTTTCATTCTTCACCGTTTGAGCGAATGTTATATACATCGTCAAAAGTCTAGTCACAGCCGGGGACCGATCCTACGACCTCAGGGATGAGAGTCCCACTGTGAAACCAGTTCTGCTCTTTCAATTATCAAGTCATTTTAAATTTCTGCTACTCCACCAAAGAGTAAGTATCGATGTCGAGACAATTTATTTTTAATTCTCAAGATTCGCGCAACGTAAATGAAAGTCCCAACTTGAAAAGCAATCCATCAGTATTAAACTATGCTTATGTTCTGCTACAAGGTTATACAAGGAAGATAATTAATCATAATATGTGGCAAAAAAGATTAGAAGCTTTGGTATAACTTTCGATATCCGTTGAGTCAGCCATACTGAATATCCGATGACGTCAATTTTGACCGTTTTTAATAAGGTTTTTGCGAGCGAGCTTACGTCTTATTTAACTTCGTTTAAGTACGAAAAAGACTTTAAACAATCGAGAGCTACTAGAGCAGCATCAGTAAAAAATAATTCTTTAAATGTACTTTTTCTGTGAAATTAAAAATGAAAAGATTTGATAGAAAATTAAATTCCAATACACAAATTACACGAGTACCAACAGAAAGAGAAAAGAGCGTATAAATTCTTAAAACGCCGGCAAGCACTCGCTTGCCCTCTGGCATTGAGTGTCCATGGGCGGCGGTATCACTTTACACCAGATGAGCCTCTTGCCCGTTTGAATCTAATAACTGACCTGCCCGGTTCATGTATTAGCCGCGATAGCAAATACCTCAATGTTCTGTTGCCATAGATGTTGTTTTCCCTTGAGAGCTGATATTGCGTTACAGCTCGGGTCTGTACGTCATACTCTTACTACTCTCGAAAAAAGTGGTCGACTAGAAGACTTATCCTTTCTGTTATATAAAATACAGCCCGTATTTTAGAGTGTTTTAAAATTTCCCCTTCATCATACTTATATGAGTCGAGTACGAGATGTAATATGAATACGGTTAATTAATTTTATATTATGTTGTATTCAACATTTGTCTTTAGTCCAATTCTTTAATTGCTTGGACGCTGATATAGACGGACGAGCCGACGGAATTTGGAAGACGTCAATAAAGTCTAATTGAAAAATTGTGTTCGAATCGCTTTAGCAAGGAACGTTTTTTATGTTATTTTTACTTGAAAGTGACCTCGCAATAACGAGATGTTATTGGGGTCCGAAACAAAGTCATTGTTGTCTGACCTTCGTACGGTGGGAACACAAGCGGGTATATCAGCTAAGCGGACGAGATTTTGTATTATGCGTTGTATACAAAAACATAGTGTTGTTTGTAATATTTAATGGTGCTGTAGGCGAATGCTAAGAATACTGTGGACTGCTAAGCACACCCAATTGTGACCAACTAATACGGAGTCGTCTACCATGTGCCGACAGCGAATTATATCAAATTTCGGTCATACAATGCGCAGAGGCGATGAGAACTTGGAGAAACTCGAGGTTGGTAACATAGAAGGCAAAATATCACGCCGTTCACCAACCAGATGGATCGATCAAGTGAAAGACTCATCGTCCTCAAAACTATACACTATGATAAGAGAGAAACAGATTGTCCGCTACAGATGTTTCCTTGCTGACGACGTTCAGACATGAGCTATCGACTGGAGAGAGAAAGATTTAAAACTTTTGCATTCAACAACAATGTGTTGGTCTTTGAGCACAATAAGCTTTATTGTTAAATTTGTATTGTTTAAGACACCTACAGGAAACGCGTCAAAATTGGTCAAATAGTTTTATGGTTTATATATATGGAAAGTCCATGTCCTCCTACGCTATACATATAACCATAAAATCTTCACCTTAGTTTATTGTTTAACTTTGTTTGATTCAAATGGTCTTTTGGCTAATAAATGTCACATTTCAAATCCTCTAATCAAAACGACGTTAAAAGTAAGGGTTCTTTCCGCTACCGCTGCGACCACACTAAACTTGGTTCCCACGTATTTATTTGCGATGTCCGAAGACCTTGTCTGAATTTCGTCTGATTCATTTGCTATATATATATATATTCTAATATGTATTTGGTTGTATAGAGTTAGGGTCCTTCAAGAAAAGAGCGTAACAATTATTATAAGCAACGCACATGTGAGCCCTAAGGCATTTAGTGTACATGCTGTAAAATCTTTATAAACCCAATTTTATTAGGTCCCTTGCGAATTTGAATAAAGTTTGCCCCTGTTATATAAATTCACCTAATTTGACAGCTGAATCGTTAATTTTATTTAAATCACATCGAAATATTTTTAACTCGTTAGGCGCCTCTTCAAGGTCTTAGAAGGTTGTGCCTGGTTGTATTTTTAAATGCTTATGTTGACTTATGTTATGAGTAAATCTATACTTTGGTATTCAATATATCAAAACTGCAACCCAGTGACTCCATTATTGTGTATTTGTACCGCCAGATTCCAAGGTCATATCAACGCTAATCCATAGCGTATCAAGAGATATAAATTGCATACAATAACGTCGGTTTCGCTTTTGGAACAGATGAGAGTGCTGAAAGTGACTGAATTCTGGTTGCATTAACATTTCATTATACAACGGTATTAACATCTTCTGCCTCTTAGTGGCTTTAAATTAATATTATCTTTTACAAGTAAGGGTTAATAAAATGCATTTATAACATCGGCTACCGTAGTAACGTACTTTAACGGTAAAAAGGCGCTACAACCTTTTTAAGTGTGGGCCTCAGATTTCTGTATCTGTTCCATGATCATTTGTCAAGCAAGTAGGTGATCAGCCTCTCGTGCCTGATTCATGTAAACTTTTTGGGTCTAAGGCAAGCCACTTTCCTCACTATGTTTTCCTTCAACGTTCGAGCGAATGTTAGATGCGCACTTATAAAGTCCATTGGTTCACAACCGGGGATTAACCTCAGCGAATAACCTTGTTATTATAAATCCTAATAATTAAAAATGTAGATATAAAACTTATCAAAAATCAGTTCAGATATTAAAAGATTAGTATGTATGACCTTGTCGATTTCTGTTTCGTTATTTAAACCTAAGTGTAATGACCTAAGCTCAGGTAGGAATCTTTCCCCGACTGGTTTTCGTAATGATCTTTCAAATTCGCGTCTTAATAACAAAATACTCGTATACTCCTTTATAAAAAAAACTAAAGCAGTTATTAAGTGTTTTATTTTCCAAACAGGTCGTGTATGTAGGGCCAATAAGCATCTAGGTTTAAAACATATTTTCACCTCTATTAAGGAGTAATCATAAATATATAATAATAGTACATGCTTGAAATACGAGTATATTATCTTAAATTTTATAGTTCAGTAAGTATTTACAATGTTCTTAACCTACATAGTACCTAATAATAATTATAAAAAAATGCTTGGTCCCTGTGGCACCTTGTGTGTATCTTTAACGCATTTCCTTGCTGTATTGCGATAGGTACTTATTCGTTGAGCGAGGAAAGCACCAGCTCTGGAAATACCGGTATTATCTACCAGACGCCAACTTAGATCTGTAATTAACTGTGTACTCTACTCCAAAGGGAACAAAATCAAATCGAATTAGATTCCAATGTTTATTTTGATTTAAATTATGTCAAGCGTTTTAAACTGGTTTATTTTATAACAAGTAGGTAAATATGTAAATTATTAAAAATTCGTTAAACTTGTTTAAAGCTTTATTTAAATCATAATTATGTAATCATTTACTCATATCGATAAAACTTCGTTTAGTGATTTGATTAATCCACTTAACCCATAAATTAGTCAAATGTGGCCAAATATATAATAGACAATTTACATACGTTTGTAATTACCGATTTCTGTATTGGAAAGTTAATTAATGAAACCTATATACCACTGTATTCTATCGCAAAATAATAATAAAAAAAACGGTGTGTGTACCGCACCTACTTATCTACACGCGTTAGAAGTTATACTTCTTTAGCGTAACATTCTTTCGCCTTATTCTACGTTTGTAGAAAAAACGACACTAACAATAGAAAAAAAAATTACTCTCAACATCTTTCCCTAACGCGCCAAAAGAAGTATAAATTCAAAAAAACTAAAATGTTGATAGCAAACTTCAGGGTGTCGGCTTTTTGTGACGGTGCGCGCGCGTAAAAATATACTCTTATAATTTTTCCCTAACGCGCCAAAAGAAGTATAACTTCAAAAATAATAAAAAATTGTGTGTACTTTGCAATATTTCATCGCATAAGTATTTTAAATAAATCTGATTAAATCGTTAAATATAGTAGTCGCGTTAACGGAGAATCATTTATACAAGTGCCCAAAGCCTTAATAAAACCTGAAAATACAAAAAAGTGTATACAAGAGTGCAATAAATTACAGGCAAATGTATGAAGGAGATCGAACTCGATACATTCCATAAACGTTGCCATATTAAAAGTGTGTCAAGGGGTGGCAACATTCCTTTTAAGACGGTTAAGCTGTGAGTGAATTGTGCCCCCATGAGTTCGTAATGTCGACCCAGGCGTACTACAAGGAGCGTCTCGGCTTCGACCCCCAAGAGGCGGAGGCGAACGGGGGCTACTTCGATGGACCACAGACGAAGCGTCACCGCGGGGACAAGGAGAGCCACGATCAGGTTTACGAGGAGAACCTGACGAAATTCAAAGGTACAACTTGTTGGGGTTTCTTTATTCAACAGGCAGGTTCGTGGTGCAGGTATAGAGAATGCGAGTGGCTTGTGTTATTTTAACACTATCTGTCGTCCGTTTTTAATAAAACAAATTTTTTAATGTCCATAAAATTCAATCAGTTTCTTTTGGAGGAAAATAATTTAAATATTTTTTATACGTTGTAGTCAAAACTTTTGTGGGTCTGATAGCTGGTTGTTACAGAAATGAAAGCTCCGTCTTGCACTTATAAAGCTTATATTTAGTAAGCTGATCTATTTAAATTAAGAATTTTTACTTTTAACGTATATATAGTTATACATTCTAAAGTTCTCGTACACAGTAAGTGAAAAATTTTCTTTGCGATTTGAGAGGTTGCACAAGTTGCGTGAATACGAAAATTGACTTCCAAATATGGTTGGTTATTGCCAAGTAACTTCAATATAACCTACTTTCAAGAGGTATTTATCATACTTTTTTAAATTTACAAGAGTCATAATGTAGGTTGCCCGCGGCCTGTTTTATGTTTCATTTTCTGCCATTCATTAAATGGATCCTATTAAAAAGATTATTAACATTTTGATTAAGTATCATCTTACATTATCAAGTATATACAGTGTAAAGTCTTTATAACGAATTTCAAGGGACCGAGAATTTTTTTTTCGTTATGGAGAGGTTTCGTTATAGGGAGGGAAGAAATAATGTATTCTTATTGGGTTAAACCAAATAAATTTAACTCATTTTTACGTTATAGAGAGGATTTCGTTATAAAGACTTTACACAAGCAAAAGCAAAATAAATATGTTCATGATATGGTTACTGAATAATAATACGACAAATTTAGTTTATCGACGATTATTTAATACCACAGACAGAGAAACCACAAAAATATTTTCTAATAGGAAAAAATACTTCTTTAATTGGTTAGTAAAACAGACTATACAATTATACCAATGATTAATGATATAAATGTCTTACCTTAATTTAGCGTCTGAAATGTGGATATATTTTTTAAATAATCTATTAATTAACTATCATTTTAGCTAAATAAATCATTGATCAAACGAGATTACTAAAACGTGTTTGTGTATTGAATTTTGTGAATTTGTTTTTAAACTTAACTCAACTACCTTAAGCATGATGTCTTTATATAAAACAGTTTTAACCTTCGTACGAAAAACGACTCGTTAATGTCAAAAACGTACTGGATTATGACAGTACTGTCGACTTAATTTGTTTATATTAAAATTAACCAAAAATAACAATTAACTAGAATTCTAAGTAGAAATAATAATGCAATACAGTTTTTAATAGTTTTATTAACCGTTTTGCATATAAAACGCATTAAATATTTATGTGATATGTAAATTATAGCCAGCTCACGTGTGATACCTTTACTGATAACAGATAAGACATAGATAACGTAGGTATTGATAATTTCCTTTAATGCTATTGGAAATTCTTCCGCGTCGTCACTTCAGTCACCTAAAATAAAATAAAAAAACTGATTTCTGTATTTTTTTTCATGATTATTTGACAATCTGATCCGCCTCCTTTTGGGTCTAAGGCAAGCCGGTTTCCTCACGATGTTTTCCTTCACCGTTCGAGCAATGCGCACATATAAAGAAAGTCCATTTGTTCACAGCCGGGTATGGAACTTAGGAGCTCAGAGATGAGAGTCGCACGCTGAAGCCACTAGGCCAACACTTGTCTCAATTCAGTCACATAGAACATAAAAATACAATATTTATTTATATATTATTATCATCCCCATATGTTTAAAAGTATTTTTAAACGACGGCGTTTAATCTGAAAACAGTATGAGATATTTATCAAAGCCAACCGCTCTGAAGTTATGCACAAAATGCGGTTCGGATCGAAACAAATGACGATCGTTAGGCCCTTTCTCCACTGCTCCGGTCCGACGTCGGATACCGGAATGAGTCATTTGCGCTTCTCCACTATATCCGATCCGACAATAATCGATACTTGTGTATTTATCATGCAACACTTCTTAACTAAAACCCATATACTTAATTTTATAAATAAAACGTTCTAAATTCTGAATATTTTATTGCCCTGGCTAGTTATTACTTTTTTTATATTGTCTATCTTGAAATATTATAATCTACTTTATAAATAATTCACTAATAGAATGGTATAAAAATATAAATAAATTGCAACATAATTTGGTTTGGTCCAGGTTATCCAGATTCTTTCAAATTAAAGAAACTATAAATAAACCTGTGAATAATAATTTCTAACCTCTTGGATATACTTGGACCGATAAAAGACCGCGTTCCGATCTAGCAAGTTATCGGATCGTTAAAAACCGGATGCCGGAGTAGTGGAGAAGCACGTAAGTACTGTTGTGAGTTTCTAAATCGGATCGGTAATTAACGTTTGCCGGACCGGAGCAGTGGAGAAACGGCCTTAGTGTGTGCAAACTGCTAATCGGTGCTAAGATTATATGACCACTGTTTTAAGTATAATACAGTTGCCTTACATATTTGGAACATATACCCTTCGATAACATATTTTACGAGGCAACGGGCAGCCTTATAGCTACTATAGTAAGGAAAAAGTAATACTAAAAAAGTTAAAAAATGCAACATTGTAGATTTAAACAATGACAAAACCAAAATCCTTTTTATTTTATTTAAAGCTAATCTTAAGAGTCATGAATCACAATGATACTAAAAAATTATATATTTACAATTACAAAAACAAATTATAATTACAATTGTCACGATAAATAATATAAAGTGGACTCGCGATAATTTGACACTCGTTAATTTGAATCTCTCGATAATTGAAAAAAAAATCGGTCCCTTCATAAATTGAATAAATCAAATAATTGTTTTCCTCGGTAATTTGAAGTTGAAGGAATAGTATCTTGCTCGCTAACATGCGATAGTTTGGAGTCCGGACTTCACCACTCCATAATCTGTCAATTGTATACATGAATAGGATACGGGTAAGTTCTAAAATCTAGTTGTGAAAGAAGACCTTAATAGGTCATGTTAATGTTTGATAATATCATGACAATCATAGACTGAAGTCGCTCATTACAAAAATGATTACGGACTTCTTTCTAAATAAAAATTTGTCAATTGTTATTTCAAAAAAAGGTCGAAGTTTCAAAAAAAGAAGAAGAAGTTTCGAAGAATGAAACAAGAACTATTCACAATTACATGTAGGTATTTAATTATTAATCGTTCCACAACTGAGCGTTTTTAAGGCAATTTTTGCCGCGCACCAGCACTATGTGGAACCAGCTGCCCACTGAAGTATTTTCGAACCAATTCGACTTAGGGTCCTTCAAGAAAAGAGAATACCAATTCTTGAAAGGACAGTAACGCACTTGCGCCTTCTGGCAATGTGAGTGTCCATGGTATCATTTAACATCAGGTGAGCCTTCTGCCCGTTTGTATTACATAAAAGAAAATACATATTTATTTATTTATTCATTTACTCACACTTCGTTACCTTACACAAAAACATACATATAAACAAAGCAGGTTATAAAAAAATAAGGGTGTGGCCTTATCGCTGACAAGCGATATCTTTCAGGCAACCCTCATATAGAACAATAAAAAAATACATATACAATGATATATAAATAAATATAGTGAATTTTGATCAATTGAAAATCTCTTGTTTTTTTGAGTCCTCCCACTCTTTATCTCTGGTCCATTGATTTTCAAATTATCGAGTCTTGTTGGTCTTTGACAGCTATCGCAGTATGAGACAGCTAATGATGAACTAATACAAAGTCACGTGAGTAATGACTTCGGCTGAAGCGGTCATATTTCACATCATCCCATTCAATTGGCGAAGTTGATTGTTCAAATGAATTGATTCGTTTTGAATGAATGTACCGACTTGATGCCATTATTGAGTTTCGTGTTTATTAGATGAATTTAAATATTTGCAAACCTTTTTTGCGTGTGGGCTTGGAATATTGCTTATTTTACACTAGCTGACCTGGTGATTAACATAAATAAAATGTGTTTCATGATCATTTGTCAATCTAATAGGCAAGTAGGTGATCAGCAGGTGCAGACATGTCGACTTTTTGGGTCTAAGGCAAGCCGGTTTCCTCACCATGTTTTCCTTGGCCGTTTGAGCGAATGTTAAATGCGCATAGAAGGAAAGTCCATCGGCACCCAGCCGGGGCTCGAACCTGCGACCTCAGGGATGAGAGTCGCACGCTGATGCCACTTGGCCAACACTACTGTAAAGTTACAGATTGGTTGAACTTAATTTATACATGGCAGAAAGTGATACAGTGCAACGTGGAATGGCGGGATTTGGAGCCTTTGCCAAAAAAGGTGACACAGATACCTAAAAGAAATATATAAATAGAAACGTATAATATCTGAAATAAAATGCTATTATTATTATTATTTATTGCTTTTAAATACTCTTTTGTCTCTTTCTGTCTAATTTCAAAAAGACAGATGAGTAGGTACTTTACCCAAAAGATTTATATATTTACTAGTGGACCCCACAGACGTTGTCCTGCATGATATTTAAAGCGATTAGGATATTAAGCAAAGTATGAAAGTACCGACTGCAGTGCCATCTGCCGGGCTGATTTGTGAATCTAAACCATTCCCAGATCCCCTTGAACACACACAAAAAATTTCATCAAAATCGGTCCAGTCGTTTGAGAGGAGTTCAGTCACATACACACGCACAGAAGAAATATATATATTAAGATTTACAGCTTACGTATGGCCAAATTTCAACTAAAACTATACAATTAAATAATATTTATATTTTTTATCATAGTTTTGCTATCCATTAATCATTTCTATGTCTTAAGCCGGGTCCACATTTGTAGCATATTGACGTATCACGATCAGTCGTATCGTATCTAGTATCTGTATCATAAATATGGACGCTCATTTTGTCCATGTCGTATATTTAAGGCGTATCTTGTAAAAAACGCGTCCATACTTATCAAATGCTGTATCATGTCAGTGTATCGGCTTTAACTTTACAAATATAGACGCTTCACTTTTCTTCCG